AAAACTCGACTCAGAAGTAAATTTATAACATGTTATCTACGATATGGGAAATGCACAGGAGTGTTAATGATGAATGATTAACTCAGAATACACATGAGCACTTCTGACAGAGTAGCTGGTGTGCTGTTGGTTCATCTTTAGCTGCCTTGGTTTAAATGCAAGTATCTCGGCTATATCTAGATTTGTTTAAGTGGAATAAGCTCAAAGATGCTAAATCAGGCTGGTTTAGGATCTCAGAAACAAGATGTCTGTATTACCATTTCTGTTTAAATTAACACCACAGATTTATAATAGATGTAGAGGTTCATCTTTTGCATTATTGCATCCATATTTAATAGCAAACATTGCAACTGATGAGAAGAGTTCCTTCAAATGCAAGTTTATTAAAAGTGCAGCGCAATTACCGGTGCCTTTTATTTTTCAGTATAATTTCTTTCATCTTTTCAACCACATTGAAACACTATGCCTGTTATACCCTAATGAACCTAGCATATCAGGTTATATAAGTTTACTTTTCCTGAAGTAATGTGCCTGGTATACTCTCAGCAATGACTTAAGCCCTCTTTCTAGGTCCACTTTAATGATATGACACAGTTTCCAGCACCTGCGGGCACTGTTCATAGGGCCAGTGGAGGCATCGTTAAAGTGACAGTAGACTTTTCCACAGGAATTAATATTCAAGAACACTTTATTATCAAATTTGAATGTTTTTGAACATGCCATTAACAAGATGCTATTTAAAACAATATATACAAACTCCACAGGGCATGTTGGACCATGATGTTAGAGTCCATCCATGTCCTGTATCTTTTATCATTTTTTCATAATTAAATTGTAATATTTCATAGACTTAATTTCAGTCATTTTGAGGAGGAAGTGCATGGGCATATTAACAAGGTATTTGAAACTTACAGGATTTTCATCACTGGATTGCCACAGAGTGAAAAAGAACAAACTTTCACTGCAAACATAATTAGCCTATTTCATTAGAAATAGGGAGTATTACTAATATGGGGAAAAGAATATTAATAATGCGTGAAACATGTGATTTGGTTTGGTGTTCATTAATATTTCCCATAGCATGCAAAAAACAGGCGTTTTCATTTTTATAAAGCGTACTTGACACACAAATACCACTAGATTTCAAGTCTAAAGTGCAGGCTAGCTCTCAGTGGTTTTTAAAAAATATTTATTGGTTAAGGTATAATTTCTCTGGGACAAATACAAGCCCTTTATTTTTCTAGAACTGATACGTCTGCTGTTGCCAGATTAGACTCTTACTTCTTGGGCCACTTGGAAGACACTGACATTTCACTGAAGATAACCCCATGTGATCCCTGACAGAAATCCAGTGATAGTAGGTATAGCCTTCAGGGTTAGTCTGTGGTTCCACAGCAAAACTAGCTTAAACAATTCCCACCCCACCCATCAAACCTCCAGCCCTGCCCACTCATTCACTGCAGAAACAAAGGCAGGAGATGGAGCAGGATCAGTGGTCTCACCACGCAGCCCCATCAGCTGTTCCTCCAGCACAGCCAAAAGTGGAGAGCAGGAGATAGGAACTGTCAGCTTCAGCTTTGCTGGAAAGAGCGCCATCCACAAAGACTTCTCAGGGTCCCTACAGGGAGAGTTACGGTTTAGTGGGTATAGATGAATGAAAATAGCATGAAATTAACTCAGAAACAGTCTTGTCATCATAAGTAGTTCTGTGGTATGAATAGAAAAGCCTTCCATACTGTTTTAAAAAATAAGTCTTAATAAATATTAAGAAATTAAAATCTATATCACTTTATTCCACCTCCATTTGTTTTCCCAGGAAGAAGTGAAAAGAAACTAAGAATGATTAATACCTTTTTTTTTTTTTTTTTAAGTAGGCCCCCTTCTTCCCCCCATGAAAAAAAGAAGCCCATGAAAAATATATTCATTATTCATTGCAGATAAATACTATCTTGGTATGCTGAACTAATGATTTTTTTATATACAGAGTTGTTTTTCAAAATGTTTCCTTTTATGCCTGGGCCACTGCAGGGTCGTAGCACTTGACCATGAACTGCTTCTAGTGACATATACTAGTAATAAAAATGGGGCTTATCAAATGCACGTTTCTTTGTTTCTGAATTGGTCATTAAGTCAATTATACAAATGAGATTTGGGGCAAGATTCTTAGGTGTGTTAACTTCAGAGCCATTTGACTTGCCAGCAAACTGAAGTTACACCAGCTAAGGATTTGCCTCATTGTGTTTACACACAGTCATTTCTGATTGTGTAACAATGAGTGTTGAATGTTAGTTAAGGTATATGATGTTATTGAATTCAGCATACTATATAAAGATCATAAAAATATGGTAGTTTTGAAGGAAAGGCTCAATATTGTAGGTTCCTTTCCTCTTAGGTGTTATTTATGCCATTCAAAATGGGGCATAACATGAATAGTTTTAAGAAATTCAACATTGAGAATATTCAGCTATTTCCTGAATATTGCTTTTTCACTGACAGAATGTAAAACCTACAGTATGAATCTGTTTCTTCAGATGTTTCAGAGCTCTTGTCTCTCTCAATGTCTTCATTCTATATTGTAGGCTCGTTACAGGAAGGAGCAAACGCTGCTTAAACAGCTGCCCTGTATTCCATTGGTGGAGAATCTGCTGAAGGATGGTACAGATGGTTGTGCTCTAGCAGCCCTGATCCACTTCTACTGTCCAGATATCGTTAAACTAGAGGGTATGTCTAACGTGTCTCGCAGCTTGTAAACACGTGTCCGTAAAAGTTTAAGTGTCTGTGTTTGTAACTATGTGAAGGAAGGTGCTTAAATATTATATACAAGAGGCATAATTTGAGTGTAGTGGGTTTAATATTAACTTTGTGCTTATTTATTTTTATATTTAAATAAAAGGAACCAAGGTGTCCTTCCATGTTGTGCTTACTTTTATGTTTTCACACTGATATAATAAGATATATTATTACAGATCTGACCATGGCAACACATTTGCCTTTGTGGTAGGGAACTTGAAACCACCTAGAAAACTCTTATTCTGGAAGCTGCATGAATGCTTTCTCATGAATCTGAGCAGTTATAGATATAAAACATGGAAGAGGTTAGTTAGACATAGCTGCAGTGCATGGCAAATAGTTGCTCTGTGTTCTGGGCTTTTAGTTCACCTGATAGTTACCTATATCCTTTATAGATCAAACAAAAATCTATAATCAAGAATGTATTAGTGTCATACTGTTCTATAATAGCAATTGTCTGTGATGATGAGCAGCTTCTCCTTGTTCTTTTGCTCCGTGGCCTGGTTGAAGTCATATCTTCCTCTTGGCAACGAAGAGCCTCATGTAGTTGTAAAATGTCTTGGCAGCTAACACCCATCATTTTCTGCCTGTGTTCTGTCTGTGATACCTTTGATGTCGTGGGAACACTTATACAGAAGCATCCTGAGAAATCCAGGAATACGAACAAGGGTATAAAGCTTGCTAAGGACTGAAATCTGGAATTCATATACGCAACCACTTTATAGGAAGCTTCCAGCACAGTAGGCATTGAAGATGAAAGACTCTGTGATGCATGCATTCACCATTCTTCTGCAGCTTGTGAATGTTGAAAATTACAACTTTCAATTTACATAAACGTTGCAGCTAAATATATACTGTTATATGCAATTAGGGAAGAATTAAAACTTGGGTATTGTGGAATTGGGGGTAACCCCTAGTTCCTTCTTACTCTTTTAGCATGGCTGAAAATACAGACAGTCCGAAAGATCTTGTATACCTTGCATGACCACATACGTACTGACCAGCAAATTCCTCCAGCGTCTGACTTGAAACAAGACAAGGCACATATCATTGGAACTTTAGTTTTAATGTTCTTGTTAGGTGTCGTGCATGTTGTTGTTTCAGAAGTAAGTTCAAAGGTACGCTGAAGTGACTATAAGCACGTTAAGAGACTTTTCCCGTCTTCCCTGTATTTAAATATAATTTTTGATGCATGCTAAATTTCACTGAGATTTGGTTCTGTGTTGGAACTGAGGAAGGGAGGTAACCAAAATGCATATGCAAAAATGCTTTAAAGTGCATTAACAAAAAAAGAAAAAAAAATCTGGAGTTCTCTGTAGTCTGAAATAGATTGTTTCTCCTCATTAAGACTTTCAAATCTGAGTTTCCTTCAAGGAATGTAGGACTAGAAAAGACTCACTATGTCAGTGACTCCAGAAATTAGCTATTGTATGAAATTATATAATTACTTTCATGAATTTATCATGTTCTATCTTAAAACTGTCTAGCTCTTTAAAATATATACTCTTCTTACCCACTGTTGCAGTGCTCCATTTTTCACATGGGTTTAAATCTTATTATTGTTTTCTACCTAAATATGTTTGTAGCCTGTCTACATGCCTTTGTTGTTCTTCCAGAGGTGCCATTTCGCTTGAACATTTAATCCTAATCTGATGTCTACCTTTTTGATATATTTTCTTTCTCTTGTTTTGCCCAGGCTACTGAACCAAGCCTTTTCAGTATCCCCTTCTGAAGTGGTTTTGCATTCTCATTATTATCCTCAAGAGTCTTCCTCTGCAGCTAGTCCAGTTTTGGTTCATCTTTCTTGAATATGGGTGGTTGCAACTGTACACAGAAATCCAGATTGGCATGTCATGACTGCTTTGTACAGTGCTTCTCTGTCACTACTGGAAATACATTTTCTGATACATTTTAGCATTATGTTCACTTTTTTTTCATCGCTGGATGATGCTGAAAGCTTGTAAACATCTTTATGTTGGCTAATACACAATACCTTCCTACTGTATATCACCTTCAACCAGTGAATCACATTACAGTTTTATTAGATCCAAATGTGTGACTTTGCATTGTGCTTTACTAAATCTAATCCCATTTCAGTCAGTTTAGTCAAACATCTTTTTTCCATTGATCATCATCTGTGGGGTTGGGATGACGGAATCATAGACTGGTTAGGATTGGAAGGGACCTTAAAGATCGAGTTCCACCCCCTGGCACGGGCAGGGACACCTCCCACTAGATCAGGTTGCTCAAAGCCTCAGAGGCTTTGAGGAGATCAGAGAAGAAACCATTCCCATGTCCCCAAACCCTGAAGCAGAGACCACCTTGCTCAGGGTCCCCTTGCTTCAGGGCGGCCATCACCAGAATATGTCTGATTCCCTCAGGCTGGGAATCCTTATCCAGCCAGCATCAAGGTAGATTCCTTGTCTGAAGAAACCATTTATCCTAAACGATTTCAAACCGTTATGTGGAGCTTTGTCATACATTGTTGCTTTAGGAATAAAATCTGATGCATGCTCTGGAAGTATATTTAATTTTGTTTTATTCAGTCCTTTTTTCTGGAAAGTTATTATTGCTACTTGATTTTCCAAGAAGCAGTCATAAAAAGAGAATAGCAGGTTAGCTGAGCATAAATAGTGTTCAGAGAATACTGTATAACGACACTAGTCTATTCACTCCTACCACTTCATCTTTAAATAGGACTTTCAAACAGAGAGTGATAATTCAGATATCAGAGGCTTCAGATCTTTTTAAAATCTCGTATCATACATCTAAATCCACAAAAACAAATACATAAGACTAAACTGATGCTGGTGTTTTGGGAAGATCCAGGGTTAATAGCATTAAAATGTACTCTCAGGTCCCTACGCAAAGACAAAGGACTGGTATGTATGGAGAACTTTGAAAAAGCATATATTTCCTACTGCCGTTGCTGTATAGAAAAATCTAATAGAAAAAAATGCATTTTAGTGATAAAATAAGTTTTTCATTATATGGAAATAGCAGGAGTTAGAGCATAACTTCCATTTTCACAAAAGGCAAAGCAGACAAAAATAAACTTGTCAATAGTGAAAAAATACAATTCAGGTTTAGAAAAATGTCTAAAGGTATAAAACTGCAAAGATAAAATGTAGAGTTGTCATTTCTTAAGTTTATGAAGTAGAAAAATAAAAGCCTCCTGGGAAAAAAAAAATCAAGTCTGTATTTAACCAGAAAATGCTTCAGAATCCAGCAAAGCAAAAAGCACTTTTTGTAAATCTGTATATCTAATCTTTGCTTCTATTCTTCCTCTTTAGATATTTGTTTGAAAGAGACAATGTCTTTGGCTGACAGCCTGTATAATCTACAGTTAATTCAAGAATTTTGTCAAGAATACCTTAACCAGTGTTGCCATTTCAGTCTTGAGGATATGCTCTATGCAGCTTCTTCAATAAAGGTAAAAATAAATAAAGAAATAAATGAAAATTCAAGCAGCATCCACTGTTTTGCTAATGATATATTTAGTGTTTTTCCATCTGTTGCTATATGACCGTATGAAAAAGTATGTTGCGTCTCTTGTGGTATAGCATGCAACACACAAACTTCAGCAGCATGTAGAACCGCCTTCTTTTGACAGTTATGTTGTTCTAGTAATTTAAAAGTATTTTTAAAGAAGCCTTTGTGAAAGTATCTATTAAAACTTTGATTTTGTGCAAAGCTCTTTCACACTTCATCTTCTTTCTTATTAATTGTTAGTTAAAGCATGTATTTCTGATATTTCTGTTAAAATGTAAGTTTATTAGTTTTAATTTTATAAGGCTTGCACAAAAGGCCAAAATATTGAAGAGTTGTTCAGGGAATTATTACTTACCCTTCTTACTCTTTTCTGTGGGTTTTACCCTTAAAGCTTTTTCAAGTGTAAATTTATGAGCTAATTTCATTGAAAACACTAACTGTTTTATGCCGTGAACCCAATTCCAACAAATATAGTTGTTTGAATAAGCAGTTGTTTTCAGTCAGTTCAAGATTCTGCTCTTTTGGAAGGGGGGGGCGGGGGGGGAAGTTTTGCTTATTCTATCATTTTTTAAGCCTTTGTGGAAAGACAAGTAGTAGTCAAATTATTTCTTGCCTAATTGTAACTTTAATTTTGTATTCTTGTGTTTCTCTAAGACCTTTTCTATGCGAAACTCCATTTGCTTAAGATTCTTGTTGGCCTGCCTTCGGGGAATGAGTTATTATTTTTATGGAGTCAACATATCCATTGCAGATGGGATGTAATTGGTTTCTCAATATCTGGGTCATCTTACTGCTTTCATGGGCTTTCCAGCGATCTGGCAAGCTGAGTCACAGAGGCCAGAGCCTGAATGCAGCTTTGTTGTCTCCTGTAGGGTTGAACCCAATCCTTTCCAAATAAGCAATGAGCTGCCGGGGTGAGTACGGGCAGTAGGACCAGGCGCTGGAAGTCTAGACTGCTGAGCTGTTGCCGGTTTGTTTTGTGTATGCAAAGCTGCGTGGTGACTGCTTTCAGTCAGCTTTTGGTGGTTTTAAATTTCAGATCATCTACCTGCCTACTTGTAAAAAGTCTGCTGCACTGTAGTCTCTCTTGCCCTTAGTTTCCCAACATGTGGTCCTACAACCATATTGAATGATCTTGAGTAGGACTCCCTCGCTGCATTTGGATTGTTTCTCTCTGCTTACGGATACATGGAATAAATGGAATTTGTTATTCTTTGGTTTCATTTGTGACAATAATACCTTTTCTTATAGTACTAGTTTGTATTATTTCTCAAGGCAGTATGCACTATGAAGTTTCAATTTTTAAAAAGTAACTGTATTAAAGATTTTGTCAATATTCCAGTGCTTCAGACTTTACACTTACAACATGCTACAGACTCAGTAATTTTGTTGTTTCTGAACTCTGTTTTTAGAGGGGATTTGGATTTCTTTCAAAGATTTAGTGTATTTCTAGAACTGAGAAAGCTCTTTCGTGATCATGTTTTTACAAGCTGCTGTGGTGTGGATACTTATTTAGATGTAAATGCTACAAAGAAAGGCTGCCAAATTTTTCTTCTAAGACTTGGCACAATACTTTGAGTAGTGCTATAAACTCTGTTTTTCCGGTGTTAAGAATTAATTTGCTTTCAAAATAAATTCACAGTTAAAAGAGTTCTTTCTTAGTTTTCCACTGCATCTGATTAGAGTAAGTTTTACTAATTTACATATTCTCCAGAGAATTTTATTGTAATTTTGAAAAAAAACTTGTAAATAGATATTTTAAATATTACACATTGAATTAAACTGGTTAGTAGAAGTCACCTTTATCTCAGTCTATAAAATTTATATAGTTTCAAGCTTTAGGATTTATAGAAGCATGTGACTTTATTTCAGGTATCTTTGTTGAGCAGAAAAAAAGTATTTTTGTTTTCAGGGTGGTCATGCTGCACGGTAGGTGGCACTATGCTTTTGGTTAAAATGGTGACAGAATAAAAAGAACCAAACTGCTGATATGTTACTGGAAAAAGCCTCAAGAAAAAAATTACAGCTGAGTTGCTGCAATGACAGAGCTGTGCCTTGTGTGGTCCTAGAAATTACACTAGGTGTCCTGACTTTACACTAGTCCTTGAGAAGGAAGGGAGCAGAGCCTCTTTCTTTTCAAGTGATTACGCACCGAGTGCATACCGTGCGTTCTTTACTGGGCACACTACACTGTCCTGTTATGTCCCAAGGTAGGTTGTATTCCTGAAATTCAGTGCAGGACTTGACCAAGGTGATTGTGCCCACTTTTGGCTTTGCCATCAAAATGCAGAGAAACAAAGTCAGAACAATTTAAAACTTAACTTGTCAAGCATCCCGGGTATTTGATACAGGCTCTCAGATTTTGCAGCAGATGAAGCTGTTGGCTTAGTTCTGTTCTAGCACAGAGAAGAAATAAGCTTTGTCTGGATTTCTAGACAGCTTTAATGTGTCACAATCAAATAAACCAGAAAGTAAGTTTTGTTACTCCTCACTTGCCCATTTCTCCTCCCCTAAGAAAAATACATTGGTGAAGTTCTTCATAAGATGTTTACTAAGGCAGAGCTACTGATGTTAAAGAAAAAAAAATATTTGAATACATTCCATGGATGCTTGAGGCACCACCAAGGGATCATGCTGGTTCCTGGTTGTTTTCCTTTGAGACAGGCAAACACAAGTAGAGAGAGATTACATAAAAATAATAACAGTATTTTCTGACTCTTTTCTGCATATTTAATGAAAGGAAAGAATAGAAAATCTTTGATCTCTCTTTAGTTGTGCAGATTGCTTTTTGCTCTTATCCTCCCTCTTTCCTTATGTAAGCAGTTTTATCCTGACACAGGATTATTTTTTAAAACATCATGTTCTTCACCTGCATCTGGGAAATTCCATAGAACTGAAAGAGATGTTTTATTGTGTCTTGACACACACGTTCTGCCTATCCAAAGAACAAGTTTGTAGAAATAGAAGAACTTGCATGAAGTGCCGTCACAGGAAGCAGAAACCACACTGCAGAACAGTAAAGACTCCTTTCTGGCTTTGGCCCAGCAGTTGGTTGGCACTGCAGTGTAGTAGTCAGTATGTAGCATTTGTGGCTTGCATAAAGATCGCGTGGAATGTATACTTCCTGAAAGGATGGTGTAAGAGACATGTATAGTTCCTGAGTAGAGAGGAAAAAATGCATGTCTCATTTCCATTTGTCACACAAGATACATGTTTAAAGTATTTCTAATGGAGGAATAACATCTTTCATTGTATTTGGTTACATTCTTGGTATTTTTAGATCATTCTCTGCCAGTTTATTCTAGTAGAACCATAGGGTTCAGACTTAAGAACCAATCATTTATGAGGTTAACACTTGAAGAGGGTACTGACGGAGAGCTTGGATCGGTTGGTGTTTGCCATGGTTTGAGAGCCTTCATAGGAACTTGGCATTGGATGGATTGACACACAGTTGATTATTGTCTATAAGTGTTCCTTTAGCTGAGCCTTCAAAAATGTGTGGAGGTTTTTTTTTTAAATAGTAATCCTAAACTTTTGCTACTCATTTAATCTACACATATTGTTCTCCATTCCCTTTTCATTGATAGAGGATTGAGTCAGGGTGACATACTGATCGCAACCAGTATTAGAACACCTTTTATTAATTCAGCTGCTATTATTAATGGAATAAATCCATTGTTAGTAAGGTAACTATTCACACAATGCATTTATTTCCTCGCATAGTCATTTTTCCTGGGTTGGAGGCCAAGCCAGTGGCCTCCCAGAAGCAGGGGGTCATACTGGCCTACCAGTGGCTTTTGGGAAGGTGTCCAGGAAGTCTCTCGGGGGCTACTTGCCTCTTTGGGTGGGTATAGACATATAATAGTGTACTCTTTGCATATAGCAGCTACTGCCCTCATGGGTGTGGTGAGGGTTACACAAGCTGGTGTTGACACTAGTATGTGCTCACGAGTCCTGCTATTCTGAGGGGGGCGGTCCTGGGATTCAACAGGGCCCCAAGTCCCTGCAGCCTCTGAAAGCTTGGGAGACTTCCATGTGCTGCCCCTCGGCACGGATGCTTCCTCCCTTGGGCTGCTGTTCTCTCACAGCTGTAGAGTCCGTTCAGCCACACTCGCGCAGAAGGTGTGTTTATCCACAATGAAAGGTTTCTGCATGTGTAATGCAGCAAATCTGAGAGATGATTGCTGGCTCTCGCCTGTGAAAGGTGTTCCTCTGACCTAAATATGGGCCAGACTTGAAACTGCACAGTCACAACTAAGCACATGGACTAGGTACCTTATTTTTTTTTTCACTGCTGATTTGGACAGGAGAATATCTAAGTATCTAAGGGGTTGTTTTGTACTAAAAATATGTATTGTATTTGAACATTTTGAATACTTGCACTTTTTGATTTAGTGTCGGTGGTGACTTTGCGAACAATGTAAGCAGAAACTATAATTGGCACCATGTCCACTGAGATGTGAAAAGTAGCATTCAAATGCATCACATAGGGGCTACATGATGTCCACAAGTGTTGTACAGCTTTCCATCCCATCTCAATGAAAAAAACCCAGTGTCAATCAGACGGCTAACCCAAGCCTGAACTTAAGTTGCAGTCCCTGTAAGTGCACATAGGGACCCCTTAGAGACCTGGGAGAGCAGCTGGCTGTGTTTGGTGAGGCAATTGGGTACGTATGGTAAGAGTCAGCCCAGGGATTTGATTCCATCTGGACGGTTTAAAAAGATTCTGGATCAGGAATGAAAAAGAAGATTCAACCAGGGAACAGCTCTTTAAGAGCAGATTTCTCTCCTGAGAGGGACTAGGTATTCCCGACTCATTATTTGAAGGGAAGCAGCGTGGTTTGCTTTCACTGATGTTAATCAGACAGGTTTCCCACTTCTTTGTTCTGGGCTGAAATAAGACATACTGGAGTTTTCAACGAAAGTTGTTGTGGCAGGAGATGTGGCAAACTGGTAGTGCATGGGTCATACACAGAACTGTAATTTGGCCTTCTCCAGGGAGTTGGAAACACTCTAATTTTCTTCAGTCTTGACGCACTTGTGTTGGCACTTTTCTAACGTATAAACTATGGATTTGCATTTGAGGTAACTTACTTTCATGACCTACTGAAGAGAGATTTTAATGTGCATTGTGATATAAATTTTACAGTGTATTTTTATGTTCATTTTGAGAAAATTCCTAAAAGCATCTATTGCTGCTTTTCCATTCAATTTTATTGGATTCAAGCCTGACTACAAATTATTTATATCTGTTGTATATATGACCTTGTATTTGTTATTCTATAAATATGCAGATCTAAAACCTATAAAATATTAGAAGGATATAGTTTATTTTAAGTGGCAAGATTAGATGCACTATTTCTGTTAGCTAATTTCATTTAAAATTAATCATGGTTTTAAAATTGTGGGGGGGGAAAGAAATATTAAAGAAAATAATTTATCTTTCTGTATAAAATTTTATAAAACAAGCTAGCTTATATATCCCTTTGATAGAGAAGCAAGCAATGACTTTAGATTTTATATTCCAAATATGGGAATATTTCTTGCTTCCAAAATCTGTTAAACAGAAGGGTTTTTATTGTACAGTACCAGAATATGCAATAGATAAACTATAAACAGCAGTGCAGCTGACTACATGCAACTGTTGAACGGTCTGCAAATATCAAATTGAAAAACTGAAACCAGAATGTTTAGCAAATAGCGTGTGTGAAGCTGCAGGTCTGCCATCTGCTGTTCAGTGCTTTTCAGCCAGGCTGAACTGCGCAGAGCTTAGGGATTTTTTTAGTACTATTAAAAAACTGCTGTGCTTCTGAATATTTTTGTGTATAAGTGCATGTGATAATCGTGTGACCAGGTGGTGGAGCTTTTGTCAGCATCATCAAGGTGATATCTGTGGAATAATATTAGTATTCTTTTTAGCCCTGGGTAGCAGGATTACTACAGATCCACAGTTTTTCCAAAAAAATAAGTTACTGATCATCTGTCTTCCCCTTTGATTGTTATTACTGACAACCCTTTCTGACTAAGCCTGTGAGAAAATGTGTTTTCCATCATGCTGTTTCACCATCAAACGTCTCAAGGAGCCTCGGTTCTAAGTGGGCTGTGCAGCCAGCGGTTTCATTTCTACTTCAGTAAATACTGCTCTGGTGATTTTGGGAAAACAAGCTGTCTTGCAGTAGCTCTGGAGTGCATAGAAGGTATTATCAAAAGAAATATCTGAGTGCTTCATAAAATAGTCTATTAACTATTACATGCAGCATTTCAGCATAAACATAAGAAATGGGAGTATTTCAATACAGTATTATTTCAGATGGGAACAATGCTATGATTAGAACATTTTATAATTTTTTTTTGTAGTAAAAAAAATTCAAGCTAAAAATGTAGAAGTTTGAGAGGAGGTAAGGGAAGGGGGAAATATTAAGATAAAAATTGTAGTATTATTTCAAAATTGTAGTATTAAAAGTTGTATTTTATCTGAGAAGTACATCTGATCTTTTTTTCTTTATGTATAATGCTTCCTAATGAAATCAGTGTGTGATACCAAAATGCTATGCTTAACATTTTCCCTGAATGGAAAAGATTTTGCTAGGAACTTTTCCTCATTGAGTTATGCTGTGCTGAATAAGCAGAGACAGGGTTTTTCCTAGTCTAGTTCCAGCTTGTGTGTAGTAACTATGGCAACATCTGGCTGATCCCTTCACCATATACTGAAGTGTATAAGTAGCTTCCAGTCTAAGAGTATCCCTTTGCTGGAGTAAAGGCTTATCCATTTTAGAAATATCCAGGAAAAATAAATCTGAATCAAAAAAATGTATTTTCAAATTTCCTGATACAGTTTTGGTGTAAAATTTTGTTTATTTTAAAAAGATGTTCTTCCCCCTAATGCCTGTGGTTTGTTTCTGAAATAAAATGGCATTTTGTTTAGAATTTTTGTCAAACATTTGCTCACGCTTCAAGATTTGAGGTATGCATTTTAAGGCAACAATGGAATTTGACATTTGAGGGACTGAAGGCATAACGAAGCTGTCAAAAGAAATCTTAAATGGAAGTCTTACGTAGTCTAGATAGAGTTTTTAATTTGAGTGCATCCTTCGTGACCATACACTAGGTGTGCTCACATATACAGTTCATTGAATGTGAGTGATCTTGCCTGTTTATGTAGTTACGCAGTGGAATGTTAATAGGTCCATCACAGAATGCAGAGCAGTTTTCTTTCCTACTGGATCAGAAGAGCTTCATCTTTCTGCTTAGATTTTTCTCCTCTAGCTGATGAACTGACGACAGAACACTTACAGACTTTGGAGCCATATATACCTGAATCAAGCAGAAAATTTTTTCATTGGACAAAGTTAAAATAGAGACAGTGTACCACTGTTTTTACTTTCTCAGAATTTGTCTTATTTTGGTTAAAGAATTGTCAGATAAATCATTTGCTATACTAATAACTCTGTAATTTGTTAGATCTTATTTAATACCCCTCATTCTTCTAAAATCCTTCAGAAAAAAAAAATATATATTGATATGTAGGTCTCTTTCCTACAGATTTCAGTGAAATTGAATTAGGAAATTCTTTGTAAGTTTAAACTAATTTTTAAAGACTGAGTTTCTTCAGGAGCTCAAATGCAATTCTGAATCTGCAGCAAGGTTTTCTTGGAGACAAAGGCAGGCCTTCTTGCTAACAAAGGGCTGGAAACTAGAAAAATGTCTCACACTCTGCTAATGAGAATGCTTCATGGATATAAAGTTTGCTCTGTTCATATCTATAATAGCAAAGTCTATACTGAAGATAGTTTTCAGTCCTATAGAAAATGTAGGAGCCGACTCCAATCTAAAAACCAAAATAACAGCTGTCTTTGCTTAGCCCAAAGGTCCGCCTGGCACCGTACCCAGTTTCCAACAGCAGTTTGGCAATGGCAGAGGCCAAAGCAAGTAGAGAAGACCAGGGCAAGCCGTGGGTTTTATTGGGAACAGATTTAAGAGTGTACTCAAGTAACATCCCTTATTTATAAGTAGATTTTCCCCTTTATTTGTTTAAAAGGAAAAAAGAGAAAAAAACCCCCACAAAAATAAGTAATTGTTTGCTTTTTCCTAAATCAGCTCTGATTTCTTTGTGTTACCACAAAACTCGTAAGAGACTTGCTTTTCTTTGAAGCTCTTCTCTGAAGCAAATACTGAAATAACTTCCCAGTTTCACTGAAAGACTATTTTAACTTAATTTCATTTTCAAAGAAAAACAAAAAGAGAGATAGCCTCTGATAATTGAGTGTAAGTATGCTAATTTTCTTAAGTACATAAGTTTTTATAGGACCAAATATTCAGAAAGCTTTATTTTTCAAAAAGGTGACATGAGAATATATTGCTGGGTTTCAACATGAGTTCATAAGTTGCAAGTGCTCTTGATGTTGTTGTTAGTTTGTAAAAATTACACCAATGAGTTTGTTATATTCTCCCATTTAAGTGGCGTTGCAGCAGAAACTTCTGCTAGTGCTTTTGCCTGGTTTTCCTCTCTATTGATTTTTTTGTTGTTGTTGTGGTTCATGTCCCAGATTGTTTCCTCCTTTTCACCCGTTTTTCCCCTTGTGTTAAATCAGATGGCTCCCACACTTCCGTGTTTCATAGCTCTGTAATGGGAAAATACAGCGGGGAGATATATCAGCAACTTATTAAGTGTGCATAAATCTTTGGAGCTAAAACCTTGATCTAACCTGCATTGAACAAATACTGCTGCTGGCTTCTGTTTTGCAATAAAGACTTCAACTAAAACTAACTTCAACAACTTCTTCAAACAAAACTAAGGGCTACCAACGTTTTTCATGTTAAAGCCCTGAAATTTTTATTGCTTAGCCTTGCAAAGCAATAGGTTTTCACTCCTCTTTTTTTGTGGAAATGGCTAATCTGCTTGACAGGCGTCCCTTTCCACCCATCCTGTACCCCTCTGCCTTGCCTGCAAGACATCAGGCCTGAGCATACACTTATGAAACATTTCAACCCCAATGGTTACAACCTGGTCAAGTTACGCGTGTTAGATTGTTGGTGCTACGGATCAATCTTCCTGATCTCTTTTTCTAGGAAATCAGTAGAGAAGAGACTGTTAACTGAATGAAATGCAGAGACGTATCTCGAATGCTGCTTAATCTATTTATTGGAAGGCTTGTGTTTTAACACAGATTTCTCTCTTTGCTAGAGCAACTACATGGTGTTCATGGCAGAATTGTTCTGGTGGTTTGAGGTGGTGAAGCCGTCGTTTGTCCAGCCTCGTGGTGTTGTGCATCCCCAAGGTAATTACAGTAAGGATTGGTTTTAATGGGCATGTTTGTAATATGTATGTGTACAGATTGCCGTTGTGTTCACAAATACAGTGAATGTTTTAGTTAATAGGATTTGGCAGTGTACAACGCCCGTAACGAAGAAGCAGAATACTCTTTCCTTGCGTTAATCTTCAACTCATCTCATAAATCCTAATTACATTTTATTGTCTATTACCAAAAGCTCATTTAAATTGGTGTGGTATAATCACTTGCAAATTTTCCTGACCTAAACAAGCCTAGAATCCATTTATGCCCATGCAGGGATTACAAACATAATAAGGAGCCAAGAACAGAACTTAGCCTGAAAAGCTTGTGTTGCTGAGGAGAAGACACCAAGAAAAGGAACATAAATCTGGGAAAAGTGGACAGATAGTTAATTTTAAATTTGCATTTTGTACCTTGGTGCAAAGGCACAGTCTTCTAACAGTAAATCCTCAAATTTAAAAATCCACCTCTCAGGTGGATCTTGAGATCTGTTAATGAGTATAGAGTCATGGTAACTTAAACATGCATACGGTAGTACTGTGATTATGTCTCCAAGAGCTAGGAAGAGATTTTCATTGTGTGGTTTTTTATATATTTTTTTTTTATTATTCTCTGATTTAAATCTTTTAAATAATGCTAACTAATTTAGGATGTGACCAAAATTCTATTTTCTAGATGAAAAGTCAGTCTAAGGGCTTGGGGAAAAAAACTTTTATCAGAAAAAAATTTCCAGAATAAGAGAACTTATTTTTAGTAAAAAGATTACTTGCTTATAATTTAGTGTTTTTCTTTTTTTTTTTCTTTATTATTTCTTCCCTTGCCTTTTCTAGTCATTTTTGTCATTCTCTATTCCCTTAATTAGTGCCAGTATGGGAACTTTGGAGAAGGTAGAGCTGAAAGGAAGTGAGTGGGTTTTAATCTAAATAATGGAACCAATCAAAATTCTTTAAATCTTTGGAAATCATTACTTCAGGTTATTTCAGACAGCTTTTCTATTATGGATTTTAACTGAATACTAAACTGTAATAACTGGAGCTTTGTTCTTTTTGGCAGCTGAACCCGCAAAAGATGCAGCTTCTGCGCACAGCTTGAATGCTAACAGAAGAAACTATGTGGATGGCCCATCTGGTTCTGACTTTGTAGCCAGGTAATGTCAGAGAATCACTAGCACTCTTTCGTAGCCTTCTCCGTTCTATTAAAAATCAAACACATTCTTTTTATTTAGTTTTATTGCCTTTTGCAATGCTCAAGGATTGAGTTACCAAATGTAATGTGTAGAATTTTGTGGAAGATCCTGTAATTCATCTGTTTTCCCCCCTGCCCCGTTGCATGGCAGGCAACATGTTCATGTTCGTACAGCTCTTGTTTGCTACCTGGACAGCACACTGTTGGCTCCCCAAGTTCCAGAACAACCTGTACTTACCCTTCAGCAGAGAAATGTCACATGGCCTCTTTGTCCTCCAGGTTTCATGGGGCTCTGCTGACCAAGTTTGCTCTGAAAGAGCTATTTTTCTGGAATTCACAGAATTTTTTCCAAAAATGGTAAAGAAAGTAAACTAAGATAATAGCAAGAAAACCACTGAGTGGTGGTTTTAGTCCAGTCTGATTATGTTACTGAAGTACCATGAAGGTCAAATAGGTAAAAATAAATACTTATGCTATGATGAACATCCCAGCTCTTGTGAGTATCAAGAATGGAAAGCTAACCACTTTATTGAATATGTTATGCATTATTTGTATTTTTGTAAATATTTGTGAAACATTATTTTAGCTACTACTGTTACTGATTTGGAAGAAATTTAAAAACATCCTATTTCCCTTGTGTTCTCTAGCTGATCAGACATTTGATAAGAGGCAGAAATTGCACATCAGGCCTTCTTTTTAATCTTTTTTTTGACAGGGTAAAAAAAGCCTTCCAGTGATCTCATCAGAACATAGTGGATGAGCGGTGGCATTGCATTATATTTAAAATTTGGGGGCAAAGGTTTACTGATTGTGTCTAAAACTGACACAGGAGAAGGATAAAATTAGCATTTTAATTGGATATTCAGCAAATGGTTGGTTGCCAACACAGCTAATCCTGTTCAGCCTTTTCTGTTGGTTTTGGATGGGGTTTTTGGGGTGGTGGTGTTTGGTTGGTTTTGGGGTTTGGTGGTTTTTGTTGTTGTGTTGTTGTTTGGGTTTTTTAAATATTTAGGAATCTATGCTGACTTTAATCAAGGAGTAATATTTCTTACTATCATTAAATGCTGTGATTGCACATTTCTTTTTCCTGTGTGTATCTGAAATGTTTCCTGTGTAGGCAATGGAGTTATTTTAGTGTAGACTAAGCAGATAAGCCGGGAGAACAACAGTAGTTTTGAACGTATCTTTGGAACAGGGGTTCCCAAGGCCATTCACACCTTGCAAATCCTCTGTAAGCAGTCCAGCAAAGGGCTTGTAACTCTAACTGTCCCACAGAACAAAGAAAGGCTTGTGGTAAAAATCACTATATGTATGTGGCTGACAACCTGGTGTCCCCCTTTAGAGCCCCTCAGTGACTTATCTTTTAGAAGTTCTGTGAAGATTCTAAATCAGATGTCAGCTACACCTCAAACCAAATTAAAGAAGCACAGAGTTCTGTGCCACACCTATTCTTGTGCTATAGTGATCCCTGTGGAGAAGATTGTCATTAAATGTAAAGAAAGGAGATGAATACTGGACAACACCACAAGAGACGTCTATCTGTAGCCTTGACTCTGTTAAAGAAAAAAAAAATCCCCACAGCTGAAGCCATTAACTATGCATTTATAGCTACTCTGACAAATTCTGTCAGTAATAGTTAATCTTTTTCATCCAGATAAGTATACCTTTTCCCTAAATGTGTGCACTTTGTACAGATGGTTTTGGCCTCTAAACTGAAGAGGACCGACTGGAAGTTTTACGATAAGCATCTGAATGAAATTGATAAACACTTAGAAAAGCCTTTACATTTCTTAGTGCCATTCCAAATTTAATAATTAAGTCTGTAAATTGCCACCAACATGTTTTGTAATATTAATCATCTTTCCTCAGACATGTTCTGAGATCTAGTGGGTGGTGGATTGTGTACTGTAGCTCATCACAACACTGTTTTAGTGTCTCTACAAGGGATGGATGTGGTTTCATGTTGGAGTATTATGAGAACTGTCCATGAGTAGTAGATAGAGCTATATCTTTCCTCATAAGCTCGTGAACTTCAGCCAACTTGATGATACTCCCCTGCATTGTAGGACAAAGGAGGGGCCCAAGAAGTTATCTCAGATGGGAGGAATCTAACACACAGGCTGCAGGTTCTGTGGCAGAGTGGTCCTGACTGCAGGACGCTGTGGTCTTGGCCTTCCTCTTTGTCCCAGCTGTACGTTCCTGCCCCCTTGAGTGTTTGACATTGTTGTTTCAGTGAAAAAAGACAGAAAAAACTAACCCAGTCGGAAAAAGTGAATACGTTTCTGCTGGCTTAGCTTGTTGAGATGACTCAGAGATGGGATGGAGAGCCAGATCCAGCGCAGAGGGAGGGAGTTGGGACTGTGGCAGCAAGCAGTTAGGATGCCTGAGGTTGCCATGGAACCATAGTCATGGTGCCAAAAGCACTCTTGTCTTGAGGGAAAATGAAGTGTCCAGATTTTCTTTGTGGTAGCAAATTTTCGGAGGCTGCTGGATTAAATTTTGAAAGCATGCTTTTCTTTTAAGATAACTTATAGACATTATATCTATGATGTTTTTTTCAAATGCCATCTAAAACAGACATGTCATGTAGCTAGTGTTTAGTGTTATTAACACAAAAAATCAGGAATTTATGAGAACCAATTTTAAATAATTTAATATATACTTATGAAAGATGCTTTTGTAGATTGTAAAACAACAATATTTTTCTTAAATTAATGTGAATATCCTTCCCACAAATATTATTTAGAAACATTTCTACAGAATACGGTATGTAAATTATAAAAGCATTAAACAAATATTTTAAAAATTACTGATTGAAGAAAAGGAGTTTGGGAGTGTGCTCTTCAACTCAGTGACCAAAATTCAAAACATGAAAGGACTTAATCCAACATGTTTTTGAAATCTGGCTTCTTTAGAAGTGTTTTACATACAAATGCATGTGTCTTTATGCATGTGTCTTTGTTCTGATCCTGCAGAAGCACCTTGATCAAAACATTGAATTATGTTAATCCTATTCTGGATTAACACAGTCTATTACAGACCTCTATGAACAACAACAAAAAAATATCTGCTGTAAGTAGAAACAGAGGAAATCGCTGTAATTACTGTTTTAGTAGTGTCCTGATTTTGGCTGGGATGGAGCTAACTTTCTTCATAGCAGCCCATGTGAGGCTATATTTTGGATTTGTGCTGAGAAGGTGCTGATAAGGTACTGACATTTAGAGTTGCTGCTGGGACAGTCAAGGACTGTTCAGCTTCTCTGCTGTGCCCGTGTCTGCAGGGGCAGGGGAAGCTGGGAGGGAGCACAGCCCCAGTTACTAGCCCAGGATTCGACCTCAAGGTTAGGATTGAGACCCAAATTGGCCAACAGTGTGTTCCGTATCATGCACGTCATGCCTGGTATATAGATGAGACTCTGTCCAGAAATTCGCTCTCTTTTGGCATAGTCTTGCTCTCTCAGTTGGATCTTGGGTCTCTTGGGCTCTTATCTTTTCCTGGATTG